CAAAACTTTAAGGGAAAGATACCTGGGGCCTAACGGTAGAACATGGTGAACCTTGTCAAGAGGGGGTCCGTTCCAGTTGGAATTTGCAGCTGTCCAACTCGCTGTACATCATCCAGCCAGACCAAATCCGACTATTGACATCTTCATGGCCTTTATCCTCTGCAAGGAAACCCTCTAAACATAAGACAGATGCCCAGGCAGACAGAGGAGGGGGGTTCAGCAGACTTCCATCTTCTGGAAATGGAAACCCGAGCAGCTATTAGGCAAAAGCGTAAAATATATTTTTTGATGCTCTTGTAGGAGCCCGATATTGATGCAATAGCTGGAGTGACAATTACACATTTGCTACAAGTTGCACCAATGACACGGAGCACAGAGCTTCTGACCAGACAGCATGGCAGACATTGTCTCTATCTCTAATTGAAACTTCATATTGAGATGTACGAAGGGAGGGAGAGAAGATGGGTCACTGCTCTGATTCATCGAACAGTAGGCATGCTCATGCAGAAAGACTTCAACTCAGCCGATCCAACATCTGGATCAGCTGAGCCGAAGCTCCGGCAGCTCACTCGCTGCCGTTCGCACTTATTCACATAGGGGACGAACGGCAGTGAGTGAATAGCCGAATGCCAGCATTTGGCTCGGCTATTCGTCTCAGTACCCCCGAGGTACCGAGCAAAATAGAAAATAGTGAAAATAGTAGAAAAAAAGGTTATATTCAAATTCAGAATTCAAAAATAAATAAAGATATTTTAAAAAAGAAAACAAAAATTGGGTGGCGCTAGCAGTGACAGCCGGCTCCGCCCAACTGTTTCCTATTTGCCGGCACCTGCTAGAGTCTTGTAGCAGGTCTCGGCCAATGAATAACAACTGGGCAGAGCTAGCCGTGACGTCATGGCCAACTCCACCCAGTTGTTATTGTTTAATTTGGGGACGCTGATCTGTCATTACAACTGGGCGGGGCCAGCCGTCAGATCATATCCCCTTCTCATTCATTTCTCACTTTGTTGTCTGTTCATCATTTCCTTTTTTTAAAATCTATATGGTAACTCCATATATTGTTGGTTTTAAGTTTGTATCAAATATTATTTCCTAGCATCCCACCCTTTTTTTGGGTGGAATGCTAGGAAACAAAAGACCAAACCAAAACATTTCTTCTTGGTCATTATCAAGGTGTAGTGGAGAGGATGTCAGATAGTCACATAGTGGTAATAGGGCACTCCTGGGGAGAAGGATGTTAATAGTCATTGTATAGGGAGAGCTCTAGATGCTACTTCATTGATAGTATTATGCAGTGCACTACATTTATTGACGAGCATCTCTATACTTATTTTTACTTGTGAGTTCTATACTGTAGACTTTGGTTCTCAACTGGTGGGTCATGACCCAAAAGTGGATCGCCGCGTGCCTTCCACTTTTCTAGTTGAGAGGCTCCTCTGCCTTTACTAGTACAAATAAGCAGAGGGATTTAGACAGAAGAGCATCTAAATAACACACCTGCCTTTGCCTTGTCCAGTGTGGTGGCTTACAACAATGGAATCAATGTATATCTAGAAGCAAAACTTTTTTTTTTTTAAAGCCCCCGTCAGCACTTTTTCATGGAGATTATTTTATCCACGTCAGCAAGATTTTTTCATTGCGTTCTACAAGGACCTGCTTCACCTCTTAGTTCCTCAGGCTGTAGATAAGAGGATTCAGCATGGGAGTCACTGCTGTAAAGAAAACAGAGGCTATTTTGTTTTGTGTATTAAAGGCTCCAGAATGAGGATAAAGATAGGTGTAGAAGACAGCTGCAAAGAAAGTTGAGACACAAATAATATGTGAGGAGCACGTACTGAAGGCCTTCTGCCTGCCCTTAATGGATGTCATCTTCAAAACGGAAGAAATTATATAGCTATATGAGAGGAGGATTGTCACCAATGTATATGTTCCCCAAACCCCAGCAAGGATGCCAGTTATCATATCACAATGAAGAGTGCTGGAACAGGACAGTTTCAGCAGTGGTGGGATGTCACAGTAGAAATGGCCAATAAGGTTTGATGTACAGAATGGAAGATTGAACACACAAGTGGTCTGCACAACTGACTGCAAGAAGCAAACAAAAGAAGGACAAAGGACCAAAGCAAAACATTTCTTCTTGGTCATTATCAAGGTGTAGTGGAGAGGGTGGCAGATAGCCACATAGCGGTCATAAGACATGGTGGAGAGAAGGATTTCTTCAGTACTGGCCAGAGCACAAAATAAGTACAGTTGGATGGCGCAATCAAGAAATTAATTTTTATTTTGTAGGGGAAAGTAAGTGAGACAACACATGTGGAATGATAACTGAGGAGTAAAAAAGGTCTACCAAAGAGAGGCTACCCAAGAAGTAATACATCGGAGTGTGAAGGCTGGAGAAGACACAGACAAGGGCTATAATCCCAACATTTCCTACTACGGTCACCATGTAAACCAAAGAAAAGAACACGAAGAGGAACGGGACAAGTTCCTTATCATTAGTTAGTCCAGAAAACTCGAACATGGTCATTTGTGTCTTGTTTTTTGATACCCATTGACCTGTAATGGTTTTAAATGTCAGACCGGTCAACTTTACTTGTGGAACAAGTAATCATCATCTCTTAGATATATCATTGATGTAGTACAATGCCAAAGAAGGCCTTTTTTTCCTCAGAAATCCAGAAGTCTAAAATAGAAGTCTATTTTAAAGTTTGCTTAATTGTTTTTTGTTCAAAACATGTTGCTGTGTTTTCTACTTTCATTTGATGCCTTTGAATTTCATGGAGATATTTTTGGGGGATTTTACAGATGATAAAGTTATAAATCTGAAATAAGAGATTTTATAATCAAAACAAATTACTTTACAAAAAAACACTCTTACTTTTTCTTCAGGTTGTCAACTGTAGTTAGTAGGGCCATCTACAACCCGACAAAGAAAAATAGCCCGATAATAGGCCCAACCAGTGTATGACTGACTTTTATTTTTACTATGGGGATAGTGGTTAGTTTGATTTTTCTTTGAAACTATGCAGCAGCGTGATGTGAGCTAAAGGAAGCACCAAGAACAGATGGTCAGTAACAAGTGAATGCTGCACTTTGAGCACCACAAACTTAAAAAAAAGCCTTCTCGACATAAAATTAAAATTAAGAAACCCCCCGAAAGGATTTTAATATAAAAATGGCCCTATCAACAGACAATAAAACCCAATATGTCCTCAAAGTATATGAAAACTCCAAAATAGTACCCCTCTGAAACAAAAGCCCACTTTTAATAAAGACCCAAACAACATAAAATAAATAAACAATACATCCCCAAAATAAATGAAAACCCCACATATTCTGCCCCCTGAAACAGAAGTCCCTTTTTGTAAGGAAAGCCATGCAGCAAAAAAACACAAAAACAAAGTTGCTATTGACAAGACAGCAGCCAAAAGTGACCACTGGTCTTAAATCAACCAAAGAGCTAGCTATCGGAATTAAAGTCTCCTAAAGGACCCTAATCTCTTTCTTTACCCTTTTGCTTCAGCAGCTTTTAATCTACTGATATTATGGCTGCTCTTTTATAATGAAGGGGTTTACACATAACAAGTAGAATATATAGACATCGTCACTCCGATAGTGAGCCAGATACGTCTGTTTATTGACATTTGAGTAGCATAACATGATACACTCAAAGCGATGTTACAGGATCCCCTTCATCAGGCAGAACAAGAGTGCAATGGGTTCATGGACTTTACTTTGACACATAACAAAGCCCGCATCATTGGCCCTTCTAAGCCAGCTGCCCTTGCAGAGCATTATGGTTATAAAGAATTTGGCCAAGCAAAATTCAATATAAATATGCTAGGACCACGAATCTCAAACGTGTAGAATTCATCTCGAACTCATGATAGCCCTGAACCAACCCCCCCAACACTGGTTGTCAATGGAGAAGGAGCCCAATGTAGAAGTGTGTGAGAAGTGCCCACTTATATTGTTGGTCATTGGCCTTAATCCTCCACTGCTCAAGGATTAGCAACCTATGGAGAAACCTTAGTGTTCCATTGAACCATGGTTAAGAAAGCCTGGTGTAATAAGTTGGAGGGGGTGGTGGTGGTTACCTTCATGGCGCGTTAGGCAAAGAGTGGACATGGGCAAAACTGACCAAAACTGACCAGTTGTGAGAATGGTTTTAGACTGCGAAAACAAAATGTTCTGACACTTGTCGTTTATAAAGTTAGAGTTTACAGCAAGGAACTTTACAAAGAAAGTGTATTAATTCCACATCAGCATTATTTTTGTATTGCTCGGGCAAGGATCTGCTTCACCTCTTGGTTCCTCAGGCCGTAGATAAGAGGATTCAGCATTGGAGTCACTACTGTGAAGAAGACAGAGGTCACTTTGTTTTGTATCTCAAAGACTTCTGAATGAGGACGAAGATAGGTGAAGAAAACAGCTGTGAAGAAGGACAAGACACAAATAATATGTGAGGAGCATGTGCTGAAGGCCTTCTGCCTGCCCTTAGCTGATGTCATCTTAAAAATTGAAAGAAATATAAAAGTGTACGAGAGGAAGATTGTCATCAATGTATATATTCCATAGGCTGCCACGAGGATGCCAGTCACCATGTTACAATGCAGAGAATTGGAGCAGGACAGCTTGAGCAGCGGTGGGATGTCACAGTAGAAATGGTCAATCAGGTTCGATCCACAGAATGGAAGACTGAACACACAACTGGTATGTACAATGGACTGCATGAAACAAATAATGAAAGGATAGAACACCAAACCAAAACATTTATTTTTAGTCATTGTCAAGGAGTAGTGGAGAGGGTGGCAGATAGCCACATAGCGGTCATAAGACATGGTGGAGAGAAGAAGAGTCTCAGTGCTTGCCAGTGCACAAAAGAAGTAAAGTTGGAAGACACAACCAAGAAATGAAATTGACTTTTTAGGAGAAAGGAAGTGATACAATGTATTTGGAGTGACAACCAAGGAGTAAAAAAGGTCCACCAAAGAGAGGCTACTCAGGAAGAAGTACATCGGGGTGTGAAGGCTGGAGGAGGCGTAGACAAGGGCTACCATCCCCACATTTCCTACTATGGTCACCATGTACACCAGTAAAAAGAACACGAACAGGAATGGGACAAGTTTTTTATTGTCAGATAGTCCAGAAAACTCAAACATGGTCACTTGCGTGTTGTTTTCAGTTCCAATAACTTCTCTTTTTGTAATGATGAAATTAAACATATCTTAGTTTTACAAATAAAGTTGCTCACAATATTCTGGTAAAATGAAAAAAAAAAAAAAAAAACCCACAATCCTACTGAACACCTCTGGCATGAAGTGGAATACCAATTTACCGGACTTAGTTCCTGACCTTACAGATGGGCACAAATCTCCCCCAGACACACTTCAAAGTCTTGTGGAACATCTTCCCAGAAGAGTGGAGGCCGTTATAGCCACAAAGGAGAGTGGACTCCATAGGAATGGCCATGGTTTTGGAATGAGATATCCAGCAAGCTCATGGTGTGACGGTCAGGAGTCCATACATTTTTTGGGATAATGTTTAGTCCTTCACTGTTATTTCTACTGCCCAGCTTGGTACGCAGGGAAATGTGGAGGAAAAAAGCAATGAAGACATTTTCAAATATAAAGGGAATCAATGTTTTCAATATATTATATACACTGAGTGGACAGATTATTATGACCACCTGACGTTTGCAGGCAAATTAGCTATAATTTGGCGCTGAAGTTGCTAGAGGGCGAGACCATTATAAATAGGGAAGCGAGTTGTTTACCACAACAGTAGACGTGATTTGTTTCTGAAGATACGGGGAAACAACGCGATGTAACAGCCTTTGAACGCGGGATGATTGTTGGCACTCGGAGCCATGGAGCGAGTATCAGCAAAACAGCAGAATTCGTTACATGTTCAAGAGCGGCTCATTGTTAAAGTGTTTAAAGACCGGACTGTCAGCCGAAAATCTGGGTGTGAACGTGCGAATTGTGGCCGTCAGCGACTGGTCAATGTTAGGGCAGAACGGGGGAGGGGCAAGACTGGTACAAGACAACAGAAGGGCCACAGTGCCGTGTCAGATTCCTCGCATCACCTTTCAACATCTCGTGGAGTCATCTCATGGCCCAACCAAGTACTGATGGGGTGGTCATAATAATCTGGCCACATCAGTGTATACTGCATATAAAACATGCAGATATCAAAATATAATATTTTTCATAAGAATGTTCATTTACATATAAATAGAAGGACAACGGCAAAGGTGAGAGATGTTTTCTAAAGCAACACGGTTCCTTAATTGTTAAATTATATAATTGCTTCATCTCTATATCTCAGCAGAGATTATATAACAAATTCCGGATCCCGGAGAGGAGAACTTGTCCACGCCGGAGATTTAATTATTATTCTCATTTTTGTATGATGTCATTGGGAAAATAATTTTGTTGAATAATTTTAATGAATATTATACTACAAAGAATTGCAAACACAGTGATTACCCAATCACACCAGCCTCTGTATAGAGGAGCTTACACTCTAATGTCCCCCCCACAGTACCCACAGTCACACACTATGTACTACAGCAAAAAGCTTCCCAGCACACTCACCAGCCAGCATGCAAAAAAACCTGTCTAACCGCTAAAGTTAAAAACAAAGGTCTCAGCTGCCGTTGTGATGTGCGGGGTCCCTTGCGCGTCCCTGTGCCCTTAAGAGGGTTGGGCTTCCTCCTGGTGAACCTGCACCCAATTTTATCTTTTGTTACAGGTGCTTCAAGATGGAGACTCTAATAGTTTAGAGTTAGGACCGCACTACACAGATGGAACGCTGTATAAAGCCCATTTCGTGTGCAGCTTGCTGCAAAGCTGGTTATAAGTTGATGAGTGCGTTTGCCATTTGTTATGCTTGACACACTATGTACTGCCACCATAAAACAGCCTGTTTTGGTAGGTCCCCTTGTTTCCCCCTCCTGTTTTGTTATTAGTAGTTTAGCCCTTCGGCGGACATTCCCAGCTTCCCCAGTTACTTTTGTTTCATGCTCATTGAGTGAAGAGGACCCTCTACAGAGTTTAAAGGTTTATGATCCCGAAAAGCTTTTTCACCTGCAGGAATATCCCACCAAAATTTCCCCGGTAATTCACAAAGCTCGGAATAATCTACATTGGATTTCAAGTAAAGAAGGGCGAGGGTCCTTTCAATGGAACTTCAAGGGCAGTATGGGAAAAACACCAATCCTTTAAATCCTTGTTTATCAACTGGCGGGTCGTGACCCAATAGTGCGTCGCGATCCCATGTTCAGTGGATCACCACTTGCCTCCCACTTTTCTAGGCGAGAGGCTCCTCAGCCTCCCCCTAGCGCAGCACCGTCCATTCTTACACCGAGCAGCCATGCAAAATATGCTGCCCTTGCACAATGCAGTCAGGCAAGTACCGTTCTACTGGCAACCGCCAAACCCAGACACGTCCATCGGATTGCCAGATGGAGAAGCGTGATTGGTCACTCCAGAGAACACGTCTCCACTTCTCTAGAGTCCAGTGGCGGCGTGCTTTACACCACGGCATCCCACGCTTTGCATTGCACTTGGTGATGTGAGGCTTGGATGCAGCTGCTCGGCCATGGAAACCCATTCCATGAAGCTCTCTACGCACTGTTGTTGTGCCAATCTGAAGGCCACACGAAGTTTGGAGGTCTGTAGCTATTGACTCTGCAGACAGTTGGCGACTTCTGCGCACAGTGCGCTTCAGCATGCGCTGACCCCGCTCTGCCATTTTACGTGGCCGACCACTTCCTGGCTGAGTTGCTGTTGTTCCCAGTTGCTTCCACTTTGTTATAATACCAGTAACAGGTGAATATCTAGTAGCCAGGAAATGTCACGGAACACCTGAATCCAATGATTTGGAGGGGGAGGGGCCCAATACTTTTGGCAATATAGTGTATATTTTGATTGCAATTTTGCTTTCATATACTTATATTTTTATTTCCATTTTTATGATGACATCCGCAAAGGGTAGGCAGAAGGCCTTCAGTATGTGCTCCTCACATTTGTATCTTGACCCTCTTTGCAGCTATCTTCTTCACCTATATTTGTGCTCATTCAGGGGCACGTAAGATACCGGACAAGGTAAAAGGGTGCCATGTGTCCCCAGTTATATACAAACATTGGAGTGATCAGCCGAGCACTCCAGTGTTTGTCCTGCACACAGAGGATCGGTAAATATCACTGATATTAGGGATGCACTGATACCGATACTAGTATCGATATCAGTGCCGATACCGAGTATTTGGGCGAGAACGGGCGCCGTGTAAGGACGTAGCGTCTGACATTCTGATTGGCCGGGAAGCCGTCTTCATGCTCCCTCGTCATCTTATGATGAGGGAGCATGGAGCTGGCCTCCCGGCCAATCAGAAAGCAGGGCGCCGCATCATTACATGGCGCCCGGCTTCCATGACGGCTCCGGCTGGGTACCGGAGGAAGGCCGCTCCTGGCTGGAGAGGCCCCGGGAGTGACAGGCTGGACATGCTGAGGTGAGAGGGGACAGAGATCCGCTCTGCAGAGGCATGCTGGATCCTATTATTATTATGGGGATTGGTATGGGTCGGCTTTCTTGTTAATCAGGAAGCCGGGTGGCGAGTCATTACACGCCACCTGGCTTCCTGAATGGGACTTCCGGTACTCAGTAATTGGTATCGGCGAGTACCGAAAAAAGATTATCGGTACTCGTACACTCGGTACCAAACTGCCGGTTATCGGTACATCCCTACCTGAAATTTATTGATCCTCCCGCTCTCCATCCTGAGCTGCTCGGGCAAGCACAGAGTAGCAGCACAGCCAGCTGTCACTTCAGGATGGTTGAGCAGTGAAGAGAGAGAGAGCCACTGGCTGTCAGATCCTGGCTGAGCGTCTCTCTCTCTCTCCTCACTGCTTGGCCATCCTGGATGACAGCTCTCTCCTCAACCCCCCCATGCTGGCTGCAGCGCTCAATTTCTCCTCAAATCCCCACCTATACAGGTGGGGGAGAGCAGCGGGGATCCAAGGAGAAGCTGCAGGCTGTGCCGCTCCTCTGCACCCTGCCGCCCTGAGCAGGGGCGTAACTAGAAATCACAGGGCCCCACAGCAAAATTTTGTATTGTGCCCTGTGACTTCTAATTATGTCCCTTGTAGAGCCCAATTGAGATCCCACGCAGCCCACCTAGACTCTCTATGGTGGGCTCTGCAGAGTCACCCTCAGGTGGGCTGGTCACACTCCTTACCTGTCCGCCTCCTCTTCCTGCATGATTGCTGATTGGCCCCGCCTCCTCCTCCGTTGCTGGGCCCGCCTCCTTCTCTGTCACCGGGCCCCGCCTCCTCCTCTGCTGCCGACCACGGGCCCTCCTCCTCCTCCACTGCCGGGTTTAGCCTGCTCCTCCACCGCCGCTGCTAGCTCTCATTAACTCCGCAGCGGCTATGAGAAGAACGTGCTGCTGCACAGATCACTGTGAGTGATCTGAACAGCATCTCATTCTTCTCACAGGCGCCAGTGAAAGCCACCAGCATAAGATGCCATAGCGACCCACCCCCTGTGCCCTGGGCCCTATAGCGGCCGCCTGGGTTGCTATGGCGATTGTTACGCCACTGGCCCTTTGGCCTAGCTTTGTTGGCTGCCTGGCGCCCCTATTGTCACGGTGCACTTGGTTCGCCATGGCAACAGGGGCGAGGGGGCACAGCTAGGCCTGCCCTGTCTGTGCCACCTCACAGCTGTACCCGAGGTGAGTGTCTCACTCGCCTCGCCTTAGCTAGGGCCCTGTAAGGTTCCTCTGGTTCTCCTGCCCGGAATAGTTCCAGACCCCTCCTGGGTCCACATGTGGCCTCCTCTAGGCTTGAGGCCTAGTCAGATTCTCCAACCTTGTACATGCCACCCCCAGGCCAAGCCCAGTGATGGACTGACCTGAGCACATGGAAATCCCTGATTATCTATGCACTCCCCCAGCGTGCACTACTGACCATGAAACTCCTAGTGATTGACTGGTGAGGCATAGACACTCCTAATGTTCCTCCACTGGCCTGTCCACTCTGTAGCAGGGTCACACCACACTCACAGTTAGGTGCACTCAATAGCAGAACACGTAGGATTAACCAGATTATACCAGACTACAAACCAGCCTGACTGATTACAGTGCTAGCAACACTAAATTTACTGGACTTACTTTTAGATTTGCCAAGGTGCCTTGGTTTTCAATGAGCATTTCCTAAATTTG